AAATATTTTATAAGTCATCTTTAATTGAAATTAGTTGATGTGTACTTTAATAGCTGTGAAGCACCATCTATGAAGACTCAGTTAGGAATCTGTGCTAGTCAGCTCAGGCTGCTATAACTAAACGCCACAGACTCACTGGGTTAAACAATAGAAAGTCATTTTCATCGTTTAAAGCTGGAAATTCCAGTGTGATCAGGATTAGTGTTCGGTGAAGTTACTTTTTTCTGGTATGTGGATGGGACTCAGAAGTACGTGGATGCTGTCCTCCCATGTTCCTTCCTCTGAGCTTATGCATGGAGGGAGAAAAACATAATTCTCTTCTTATGCAGCAACCAACTCTGTTGATTCAGGGGCCCACCAGTATGACCTTACTTAACCTTAATTACCTTCTCATGGATTGTCAAAAACAGCCACATTGGAGGCCATATGAACATATGCATTTAGAGGGAACACAGTTCAGCCCATAGTAGATGCAGAGAGAGACGGAGACACAGACAGAGAGACAGAGAGACAGAGACAGAGAAATGGAAAGAAATGAAAATTGACACAGTATCTTTTAGCCAAGAAAATAATGCAGGAAATAAACATGAGGAGTCTTACAAGTGATTGACAATACAGAGCTCCTTAATAGTAAGAGATCTGGTTACCCATCTGACAAGTAGACTGCTTGGATTGCTCTGTTGTAGATTAAACTGGATCTTGAGGTCCTTTTCTTAAACTGGTACTCAGTGTTTTTAGCAATAAAATTTTCATTACATGAAAATAGGGAATTAGTTCCAAAGGCCCATGACAGTTTTCTTTCATTACCTTTTCTTTGTGCATGCAGAGAATCAGGGGAAGGTAATAATTGCAGGAGCTGGGTGGCCTAGGTTTGAATGCCACCTTCTCTACTTATATGTTACTCCTATGATACTGTTTCTTTACCTATAAAACCATTGATATTTACCTTCATGTATATATTAGAATACCCGCTACGATATGATAATATCTGTTTATTAGCGTAAATACAGGTGAAATGATAGGAATTTATTTGTCTTATACATCCAGTCCAGAAGTAAGCAAACTAGGGCTGACAGGGGAACCCTGACATCAGACTCAACCGAAACGTCCATCTCAGAGCCGGAGGTAAAAGCAATGAGGTAAACTTCCTCGCATTCACTTAGAGGCAGCATCCCAAAGTTTCACGTAAATTCTGCCCACATCAGAGAATAGGTATATAATTATATCAGATAGGGAGGTTTGGGTGCCAAGCATTATCTTTAACTGTTACTTTACTAGCAATGGTTAGTCTGCCTCCGATGGTTACTATAAAGATTAGAAATAATTCACTCAGGATGAATTGTGAAACATCAGAAATGTTTGCCAAGGCACTTTGTGTGTGGCAAGTATAAGAAAGAGGGAACTACCCATCTTACTTTCCTTAACACTTTACTACTGGCAAAGTATAGTCCACGGTCAAATAGGATCAGCAACGTGAGGAGGCTTTAGATACACATGATTCCTCCTCCTCTTGCTGGGCCACAGATTCTGAATCACAGCCTGCATCTTAACATGTTGATAAGCTCTGGGCTGCGGTGTACTTTGTAAATCCTTTAAGGCATCTGATAGTTACAAGTTGTGAGAATTAAATAAGAATTTGCATATTTTTTATATATTTACAGATATATATATTTTTTAATCTGTAAAGTGCTTTATAACATTCTATCTTATGTAGAAGCAAGGACAAATAAAACATCTCATAAGTTATCAAAGCAAGAAGTTAAGAATCTTTGGGTTTTTAGACTTTACAACCTTGATAACATTTCTTTCTATTGTAATGCCATGTGTAAAAGCACTCCGTTCCTGGAAAATGTGCTTCAGTTGGCATACACATTTTTTTAAATTAACATTTATGGGAATGCTCTATCTACCCTTCTAAATGGAGGGTTTTCAATGTGTTTTTAATTACCATCACTATTTTATGTTAGTTGTTTTATTATTATTTAATTTGTATGATGGAATATATAGATTTCAACATCAAGAAAATGTGGAAATAATTCTTTAAAAAGGAAAATTTTTATCAGTAAAAATGGATAAATGAATTTCACGGGATCAATTCAGATTCAAATATTTATATGTACTATTACTGAGTAAGTTGCAAATTTATCAGTGTTAAACTACAAGATGAATGTTCAGACTTTTAAATTTTGGAATATTTGCATAGACTTTTTTGGGTGAACACTTTTTAGTAAGTTTTGGATTTTTTTTTTTTTTGAGACAAAGTCTCACTGTGTAGTACAGGCTGGCATTGAACTCACAGTGGTCCTCCTGCTCAGCCTCCTAAATGCTAGGATTATGGATCTGTGCCACAAGTTTGGAATTTGAAACACTTCAGATTTTGAATTTTCAGATTAGAGAGATGCTGAATCTTAGAACAAATCTGGAAAATCACCTTCTCACAGACTTCTATTCTTGTCTGTAAATTAGGAACAATATTACTGTACCTATGTCACAGGTTTTGAGGGGGCATGAGACCCTAGAAAAATGTATGGTACATATAGAGGTTTGTATTAATATCTGGCATTGTCAGAGATTGGGCACATATATAAAGCAACTTACTATTAACATGTTTGGCAAAAAAAGCTTTTGATCTAAACAGGGCCCTGGTAGCTCTGCAAGATTCACAGTGCCAAAGCTTTGGCCTTGCTTCATGTGGCAGGAGCCTCAAGACAGACCGCTGGTGCAGGCTGCCCAGGGAGCAGCCCCACAGAGGCCTTAGGGTTAGCTGATGCCCTCTGATGTGCACAGAGTGAAGCTTGCGTTTTAGAAGAAAACCAGTAGCCAAGAAGCTCACAGGGGAAGGGAAGCTCTGAATATGGACCTTTCTAATTCTTTGGGAGTCATACCTTGACTGTCCTGCCTGTGACTGGAAAGAATAGCAGGAGATTGTCATTGCATCTTTAGTGGCAAGAACACTCATGTCCCTGTGGGCTTGAGACTGCGGCATTAGAAAAGTACTACTGGGCTTGTTCTAGGTCTCATCTTAATCCTGTCTTCTCCTTTTCATTAACAATCAGAACATAAATGCTGAACTGTTAATTTGAGCATTCATACTGGGGGGATAAATGTGCATGTAACGTACTTCTCCTTTAGAGGCTTATAGTTAATTGTGGAGTTACACAACTTTATCAGAGAGAAAGGTATTGACCAACAGTATTTTTTATACTTTAAAATCAATTTTGGTTTGTGCTCACACTTTAAAAACATGTGTGAATTTAAAAATAAATCTAATATCTATAACCCCAGCACTCTGGAAGGCTGAGACAGAAGGATCACCTTAAATGGCCCAGCATAGGCCATTTAATGACATGTCTAAAAAAAAGTTTTATGGGTGGGGGGTGGAGAGGGAAAGAAAAAGTAAAAATGATTTAAGATGTGCATGTATGTTTCAGTTTCCCAAGATAAATCTGATTATTATGTATGTAAATATATACTAATTTTAAAAAGAAACTAAAAAAGAGGGGCTGGAGATTTAGCTCAGTTCAAAACTCTCGGTTCAATCCCAGGATTAGAAGATAGATTAGATAGATAGACATACAGACAGACAGATTTGTGTTACATATGGGGAAAACCAAAAATAGCTATATTTCAAAATGCTCGTGTTGATGAGAATTTAAATTATTTTTATTTATTTTCTCTGTCTTCTCTATCTTCTTTAACAGGCATGTATGGTTTATATAACCACAAAAATACCATAACGTATTAAACCAGGTTTCCACAGTTATCATTATGTGCCCTATTTCCCTGGATCCTTATATTTTCTCTGTGAGATCAGTAATAAACATGAATGGTGTAGATGAGAGAAATGGAGGAGACAGACAGACAGATAGAAAGTTAAGTGCAGCGAGATTACATGATACAGACAGATTGGAACAGAGAGCAAGTGGCAAAACTCAGGCCCAGAACAACAGTAACAAAAAATCTCAGAAAAGGAGGAAATGGATAGTGCTTGAGGGAAGGGGAAATGTAACTACCTGGGAACATTTTTAGGGTTAGGGCACTGGATGGCTTTTTACTTTGGCCTGGTTTCTACGAGAAAGTATGGTGCAGTTGTACCAGATTCCGAGACAGGGCGTACGGCCGCTGCCTTTCACTGTGAGACCTGACAGTCTTGAGTTTGATTTGCAACTGGGACACTGCTGAGCTGTTTAACCTGAAATTTATTTGCAGACCAGTAGCCTTGCATATACCTATGTAGATAGCAAGACAAACACTTTTATTTATTGTAAGAATGAAATGAGTTAATCCTGTAAAAAGTATAAGACCCTTTAAAAATATATCAGACACAGAAAGGACTCAACAAATGTTAACTCCTTAAAACTAGTTATCCTAATTCCTGTGATACAGGTCTGATGAGAATGTTAGAAGATTATATATAAGAAATATATAGATATACCATTAAATATATGTGTATACCAGAAAAGGCTGGTGGCTCTCAATGAGATGATAAAATTAATATGAAAATACAAAAAAGTATATACTTACATTACTGGATGGTCCAGCTGTCTGTTTAAATTCATACCAAGCCATTTCTGGTTATTACAAATATTTAGAGTCTCTGTGGTGTACACTTAGATGTTCTAATTATACAACTGTGGAAGTCAAGTAATTGCTATAAAATTAGAAATGATTGCTTTGTCGTAAAAGACCTTGACCACAGACGGATGTGCTATTGTGGGTTAGTCTGAGTTGTCCTAGTGAAGTCAGAAGTACATGTAAATCCCGTCAAAGTATGGGTAATAATTCTTTGAAAACATCGAGGGAAAAGTGCTTAGAAGATGAGCATTTACAGTGTCAGTTGGAGGATACTAGTTGCTTTAATGTCCAATAAGTAGTTGTTTTCAGATCCTTCGATTCTCACACAGGTAAATTATTGAAATTCCAAGAACGTGTCATAAACATCTCTTATCATCTTAATATCCCAAAACATGTAAAACATATTTCTTTGTGCTTTTTTTTAGACCCCCTGGTTGTGGAATACAAGGCACTGCTGGTACAACTACCCCTATCAGGTAAGAAGTCCTTCCCTTCTGGGTTTTTGCAGTGTAGACTAGCTTTCTTACATCAAGTTCATGGTTTCAGGAAGGACTCAGCAGGTTGTGACAGCCTCTTGCCTTTTCATCAATGCTGAACAGAACCTAGTGGGGACAATAGTTGATATGTTCTTAGTGACATTCAAAACCAAAGCACTGTTGTCTCTGCAGAGAAAATAAATTTGGAGAATGCATTTGCTGCAGAATAGGATGCAATCAATTCATTGTGTATAATTCCTCTTCACAACAGCTGACCTGCTTCTACTTCCTGAGGGAAGTCCCCAGGCCTGGTGGCAGCACAGACCTGTCCCACAGCAAGTGGGAGAGCTCGGGGTGGAGCTGGAGCAGGCATGTTGAGTTTGATTCTCTTGTAGCTTAGGAACAGCTACATAATAAATCAAGCCCCATTTCCTTTAGTACAGAGAAGTAGGATCATACCATTACACATAGAATCACTGCACATGCGATGAAATCATATCCCAAAAAAAGGAGGATTTTGGATCCTTGCCCATAGGCATGCCTTTGCACCTATCCATAATGGTATATGCTGGGGCCTTTCTTAAATTCTGGCTGAGAAAGTCTAGTTCAGTTGAGATATGATACAAAGAGAAGCAAGCACGACTAGATATTTTGGTGGCAAGATGAAAAAGACATACACTAGAATAATCAATTTGGATATTTTGAGCTGGGAACTCCTTTGGTGTTATCTTTTTAGAGGCATTCGGACTTTCTGGTGAGCACTTAATGGAATCAGCTTGCTTCACACAGAGTCGCACCTGGAGGTCAGCACTGGTATCACATACTCCTCGGGCAAGTTCAAGGCTAAGGACGTATTGAAATGAGCTTCTAGTTTACACTTCTATCACTTTCAAGTAATTTATACAGATTAGGAAAAAATTATATAAGCAACATGACATGATTAAAGACAACTGAGCATTCTGGGGATGTCTGATAGGGACTGAAGCAAGGTTGAAACCCATCATTTATTTTACATAGTTGTGATTCTTAGGCCCAACTGCTATTTTACTCCTGTAAATACTTGGAACATTGTCATTTAAGTCTCTCTTTGAATTCTGTAATGGTATGCTGGGTAGTAGAAACCATATCTCTTAATTTCTATTTATAAGGGACATCAAAAGCTTCCAGAAATTTGAACTTGAGCGTAGGTGTGGCAGCTGCTATAATGCACTGTATTTATGAGCTGAATTCTGCAACCTGAAGGAAACTGAGACAGATGCCATGTGAAATGCAATCCCTACTGTTCTTATTAGGTATAATATAGTCCAGATAACTTTCACATTTACAGCTGGAGCTGAGAAATTGCTTATTTCTGACAAAAAGAGTTGCAAAGGCCATGGGCTTTCAAAGTATGCTGTGGACCATTTCACAGGCAGCACTGTGGACTGAAAGATGAAAGTTTGAGGGTCTGGTAGACACAGTTGTGTTTAAAAATGGGAAATATTCGTTTGGAAGGAAAGATACAATATGTAGGGGTTTAGGTAAAGATTTTCTTTCACTGATAAGTTATCACTTACTGCTGAATAATTAAGCATAAACTTGTCAAAATCTAGCACAACTTAGTGGTCTCCTGCGGGAACAGTGGTCACCTTGACAACTGCCACATATTAATAAAAACCTAATGGCTTTCTTCGTGCATGAGGGAGTTAAGCATCATGTAATTCCTGTGTATGCAGTTAGAGCACTTGGCATGTAATCTTATCCATGTAAATAAATACATGTAGTAGATTGCAGTTTGAAATCAATCTCAAGCCTTAAAAACTCCTTCAAAGATTGAGCATGCTCATGAAACATGTTTATTGTGTCCCTGGCACATAACTCACATAAGTAATTGAACAGATTTTTTTGATGAAAAAGTAGTAGTCTACCTCATTTCCATTAAGGACACTTTGGTTCTTTTGTGTGAGCATGGGTCTCGTATTTATTACCTATGTAACGATTTTATATATTTACATCTGTGATTGTAAGATTAAGATAATATGGGATTGCACTCAGTGACCTTGTGCAGTCTGCTGTAAAGAGCACAAGTTGGGTGGGAAGCCCTAATGTGTTGTTACAGGTCTCGCTAGCTGAATGAACTAACAGCAATTTCCTGTCAACTGTATAATCTAGATCCAGAATGAGAGTACTGATTTTTATAGAGTTTTTAAGAGAATCAAAGACGTTAAGATGTGAATAAGCTGTGTCAATTGCAGAGCAATCTGTGAATGTGCTAATTATAATGAGATGCTCTCCTGTAAACTGCAGTTTGTAGATGTGCTTCAGCTTGTCTTCCTAGCTCCTTTGGGGCATTTTCCCATGTTATGGTGCCAGCAGTATGAGAATCTCAACTTTGCCTTTGTTCAAAGGGTATTGAAGCTAGGGCTGTGGGTCTCAGACCTCATCATTTCCAACATCTGCTCTGAATACGTGTCCTTCATTACTAATGCCTTCTAGTTTTAAAAGGGCGGTGCCAAGGGGAATACCTTCTTTCTGAGGTGATGCTGAGATTGATGAAAACACTGACACTAGCCTGAGATCTTAGCGCAGGCTGTCATCAGCAAATACCATAAGAAGAAATCATGCCCTGCACATGAGATTTCCACTCTCAGGACCTGATTGCCTCCCAAAGACCTCACCTCCAAATTTTGTCACATTGGACATTGGGCTTCAGCATACACATTTTGGTCAGATCAAAGTAATGTTCATTGGCACATAGAGCTTATGACTGCTGGTTAGAATACCCTGCCCCCTCATGCACTCTGTTGTAAAAAATCTGAGCAGAACAGTTGTCTCCCTTAATGCCTGTGCTTAGAGTAGCTAGTTGAGTGCCAGCTTTGCATTCATGATGATGCTGTTGGTGTCAGAACATGTCAGAGTTCATTTACTGTTTGTAATAAATTGCATGCACAGAGGTTTGGGCATGTTTGCGTGGAGACCCTGAAAGTCTTTTTATTCAAAGGTTTTTTAAATTCATTTTGGTAAAGTAATACATTTTGTAGTAACATAATACAGTAGTTAAATACAACTCATCAAAAATATTTAAAAGCTATTTTGGTTTTTTGAAAACCTTTTTTATCGATACCTATTTGCAGGCGGAAATTTAGCTCAGAGGCATAAATGCCTGCCTGGCAAATGTGAGGTTGTGAGTTCAATGTCTGGTACCCCCCAAAAAAACAAACCAAAACAAAACAAACCCTACTTGTAGTACATGGTGATCACATTCCTCATGGGGAGTTGATATATGTAAATAACACTTCTTCATTTTTTTTTTTCACCTCCTCCCTTACCCCTGCCCTCCAACTCTGGGTCCCTTTCCTTTTTTTTTTTTTTTTTTTTTTTTTTTTTTTTGTCTTTTTTCTTTTTATCAGTACCAGGGATTGAACTCACGACTGCCTGCTTGCAAGGCAGGCGCTTATGCCACTGAGCTAAATCCCCAGCCCCTGTCCCTTTCCTTTTTGTAAAAGGGCTTATTACTTATTATCTCTCTTTTATTTATTTCTTTCTGTTTTGAGTTTCTCATATAAGAGAAACCATGTACTATTTAAGCTTGTGTGTCTGATTTATTTCACTTAACATTATGGTTTCAGGATGCATCCATTTTTCTACAAATGGCTCAAATTTATCCTCTGTAGCACAGGAGTACTCCATTGTGTATAAATACCACATTTTCTTGACCCGTTCTCTGCTCTTTTGTTTCTATGTATTGATACGGAAAATAGTTTCATCCCTCTGAAGTACTGAAGGAGTTAAAGGAGGTACCCCCCCCCCTTTTACATATAAGTAAACTAAGGGCCAGTTTTTTACATACAAAGCCCTGGAGCTGGGCCTTGATCCTAAATTTCCTGACTGGGTGTCTAGTCTGCTGTGTCTTAGCAGCTTTTGTATCCCTCTGATCTTTTGATAAATAATTCAGAGTAATTCTTTTTATATTTGTAATGTACTGAACATTTTCTAATGAGAAGAAAGCTTTCTGATTCATGCCTCTGTGACCCACGTAATACTCCAACTTTATTACTACCTCCCTATCCCTGCATTTTCAGCAATGGTCCAGGGTTATACTTACTGTGTGTGCAACAGAAATTTTTTCAGGTTAGCTAAAGAATCTTGCAGATACGCAAGTCAAACAACCATAAATGTTACTGTTAAACTGGATATTGAATTGAGTCCCAAATGTTCATGCTGATTAATGCTTTATGGGTTTGAAATGAAATGAAAAGAATGTTACTGAGCTGTGGATTAAAGGCATCCTTGAAAGCTCCATTATCTATACAGAGAATGGGGCAGGAACTACATTTGTGCGGCAGAATATTGTGTTACTTTTCAGCGTTGAGTTTGAGAACATTGATACATAAATTGGATTCCTGATTAACTATTAATTTTTTTTTCTCTCTCTCTTACATCCTCAGCCTCTCACCACTGACCTTCACTACTATTACATCCTGGAGCTATCATTTTATTGGTCTTTAATGTTTTCCCAGTTCACTGATATCAAAAGGAAGGTAAGAGTGGTTATGTCATAAAGTGCTTGCAAACATGTCATTAACGGCCCTTGGCAGGTGGGTGTAGCGTCTCCTGGGCACTCACCTCGGTTTTCCTGGCAGCACTGGGTTAGCACAACTTACATTATTACTACAGAAAGCCCTGTATGTTTGTGCCGTTTGGTATTTTGTTTCTATTGTCCCTTCACTCTTTCCAAACAACCCAGTGTTCTTTTCTTGATGAGAAAAATAGGGCAGTGAATCCCAGTGGTAGTAATTTGCTCTCCATCTGGTTTCCAAGTCCCCTCATTGTCCAGACTAAGTGAGAAGAAGAATTTTATTTGTAGTTCCTAGGAGAGAGAAAAGTCTTAGTGTTTCATCCGTGTAGAGTGAATTTTCCAATTAAGGGTTATGTACTGTCAAAATAAGTCTCAAAAATGCAACATCTCTAAGTGAACTATGTTCTTGGTTCCTCCACTATAATTGCTTTTGTTGAGTATCCGTGACCTCCTGAGTGCTAACTCTACACATTCTGGCTTCCACCCTATCAGCCTCTGGAGAGACTTGGTACTTTTGGCTGCTTATTGCTTAGTTTTACTATGATGCCATTTTTTCAAGGATTCTCATCTATTTGAATCAGTCTTGCAAAGTTGTCTCATTGTCCTCCACCTTAATGTCTCCTGCTCTGTGTTTTTAGGTCCACTAAGATTCTAGACCCAAATTACTAGGTACTGCACATCGCTCTGGATGATGGAGCTTACATCATCCGATCATCACCCATGTGCCATTATCTCCCAGATGTTTCTCTTTGTCCCAGATTTCCCTTGGATCCATAATTGTACATTTCTATTCACAAATGGTACTAGTTTATTGTTATTATTTGTTACTTGATCCTCATAACAACTCCAATCGCAGTTTAGATTATTTTTTACTTATCCTCATCTTGTGATTAAGGAAATAACCCAACATGCAAAATGTTCCGAATTGAAGACAGGATCTGCTCCTTTTGTTCTTTCTCCTTAACCTTTCTAACCAGTGTCAATGGGTGGTAGGAAGTTTTTCTTTGAACTCTTCTGTGCCTTGTTCCTGCTCCTTTTGTCCTCTTTAGTGTTGCTGATTTGCTTAGACCAAGTCATCTCTGCATTTACCCAGTCTGATAAATGCTCCTTGTCCTAAACAGTTGTTCTTGTCTTCCTGCCACCGGAGTTTAGTTGCTAAAACATTCAAGGTCAAGCCTAAAAACTACTCTGAGGTTGTAAACAGCATGACAGTCCCACCTCCCCTATACTACCATACACTTCTAACACATTCGGTAAACTTCAGCTGCAAACATCTCACCATTAGTCAAACACCCACAGTTTTTTCCTGTTCATTTTGTTTTTACCTAAAGTCTGTCTGTGACTACCGTATACCCTATTTTGCCCTTGTCATTTAAGGCCTAGCTCAAAAGTAACCTCTCTGAAGCCTTTTTTTTTTTGTTCTCTTGAGGTTTTTGACTGCTCTTTCTGTATTTAGTTTATGAGTTTCCCACAATTACCATATTGTGTGCTAATGTGGTGACCTGCCTCTCCCTTTTCACTAGATACAGATAGTAGGAAGCCAAATCTGAGTCCAACTGGCCTGCTGTCACAAACGCCAGAGACTGGGTAGTTTAGAAACAACAGAAATCTGTTTCTTATAGTTCTGGAAGGGAAGTAGTGCAAGCTGTGCACAGATTCTGTGTATGGTGCAAGCCCACTTTCTCATGGATGACGACTTCTCTCTGTGCCCTCACGTGGTGGAAGGAACAAGGCAGCTCTCTGGTACTGCTTGATAAGACCACGGATTCCATTCAAGAGGTCTCCTTCCAAAAACCCCTGCCCCCTAATACTATTACCCTGGGCCTGAGAATTTCAACAGGCAAATTGATGAAAGCATAATCAGTCCATGGAAAGCAGAGTACATTTATCTTGATGGTATGTCACTAAGTTTAAAGTGAAGGAATGAGTGGATCAGTAGTTCCTTTGCAGAAGAGATTGTACATTATGATGGAGCACAATCCTGTATCATCTTTGGTTAGACAGTTATCCACTAAATTACAAATGCAAGTGGCAGCCGAAAAGCGTCTAGAAGTCTGTGGCCTAAAACTTGAGTTCCCCTTTCCGTAAGTATGCTCCCTCCACTGTCCACCAGCAGTAGCCTACTTGGTGAACAAAAAGCTGTTTTTCCTGAGTTTTGTGGCTCTACGACCTTACTGTGGTGTTTATCATCTGATTCTCAGAAGTGGACAGTCCCTCTCAAGACTACCTTAAGCATGGCAGATGACTCATCAATATCCACAATTTGTGGTTCCCTAACTCTTTGCACCATATGATCTGGGCAGCCTCCTGGAGACATTTAAAGATCTTTCATTATAATGAGCCAGAGGATCTCCTCTGTCTTATAGAGAAGGAGCTTGCTTTATTCCTGTAGTCAAAATTTGCAGACTGATGTATCTGCAGCATGCAGGTATCACGCTAGGGCTTATTTTGCATTTTATTTTCTTTTTGAGTAGCCCTTCATCCTGGTAATCACACCACATACTTATATAACCCAGAACGGTAAAGCATTCTTCCTTTTTTCTTGGACTTGAGAAAATTTATGCACAGTGAGTTTATGTTAGTTTTCCGAGGCCATGGAGTGTGGGAGTGAATTAGAGCTCAAATTTTCCATGGATCCCTGTGATTCACTCTTAGATTAGACGTATATGCCACTCTGGCCTTATCCCACCAAGTACGCCTTTTATAGCTCATTGCCTTTTTATTGGTTCCTCCTTTGCTTAGGGAGAGTTAGGAATGCCATCGAACTTACAGATACCAAGTAAAGCAGGAGTAGCTGTCCTTGGCTTCCATAAGTCTCATTCTAGAAAGACATTGGTACACTAAAAGTCGGTGGAGAATCCACTTGCTTCACATTGCCTGTGTGTATGTAGCCTGTCTTTTCCATGAGCCAACAGAGCTCAGAGAGTTGTCACTGCTTTAAGTCACATGACTGTCATCTCAATCGTTTTCATAGCTGGCTAGATTTAAAGGTTGAAGTGCATGTGCCTTTGTGTGATGTTTCACATACTTAGCACCAATGTAGAAAGCATCTAGGAAAAGGGTAATTTTTTTTTCAAATTTTATTTAAGGAGAAAAAGAAAAAAAGCAGAAAAAAGGTACAAGTTATACAGAATTTCAGAAAAAAAATAAACAGTAGGAAATCACTAGTTAATGGATTACATATTGTCATCTTAGAAATGTTTGTTCAGGTTACAGAATTAAAGCTTATATAGTGGACATTCAAACAGTGAGACCAAACAGTTCTGTTCAATAATCCAACAAAACTCAGTAATATCATTCTATCTTATACACTTAAATATACATGCAGTTATATTGTTTAGAGCAGAAAAGGGTAATTTTACAGTGAAGTTTGTAGAATTGATCCTGGGCACGTAAATATTGTTAATGTTTAGAAATTAATAATATACTATTTTCCAAGCTGACTGCAGTGGCTCACTGGAGATCTCTGGAGCCTCTTTCTTCTTCTGTTGATCAGAGTATTTTTGCATATTCCTGGCACAGCTGGCTTATTCTAGTTGCTTGTATAACATGGGGATTTGGCCACTACCAGACATGCTTATGAGTCAGCAGAGGTTTTAATAAGAGCCTTTCCTTCTGCTGTCGTCCTGTTTTAGGGAGCTGTTGCTCTTGTTTTTCCCTTCACAACCGCATGTGTCAGTCACTTTCTCATTGCTGAGACACACATCGCCGAGACATCTGCAGTTTAAAGGGGAGAATTTAGTTGAGCTCATGGTTTTTAGCGATTTCAGTCTGTGGTCAACTGACTCCAGAGCAGAAAGGGCATGGCGAAAAGGAAAGCTGCTGCCATCATGGTGGCCAGAAACAGACGAGGAAGGAACCAGGGAGGGAGGTAAACCTTTCCGGGTCACATCCCAGTGACTGCCTCTTCTGACCAGCCACCCCCTCCTAACATCAAGTCAGCTGTGCAGCCCCTCTGATCCAGTCTCCTCCCAAAATCCCCCCCTCTCAATGCATGAGACTTTGGGGGACACTCTCAATCTAACCCACAGGGCTCACTGCCTGGCCTCAGGGGTCCTCGGTGGCCGTGTCCTTATTACACTTCTGCCTGGGGGAGCTGCTGCTCCAGCCATCAGTGATAATTTATGGTGCGTTCTGATTGCCAGATGCGTACATTCCCCACCTACTTTATCATAACTAAACCTCCTGAAAGTATTCTAGTTCTTAAGATGTTTGAAGATGTCATTGGCAATAAAGTATGGGAATCATCTTCTAAAGGCTGTTCAGGAGACAGTTCTTGGAAGGCTGTCAAAAGACTCTTTGGTTCCCTTATTAAATGGCCATTTCAAACAGGCCAGGATTTATGAATGTTGGACATGAATGCATGCCTCAAACTCTGCCTCAGTATCTTAAATGAGCTTTAAAAATCACTTTTTTTTTTGTTTTGGACTAGTTTCACGAATCTTTCTAAAATGAATTTTATGTTCACAAACTCTTCTTCACCATTTTTAAGACTCAGGAGTTTAAAAATGAGGAAAGACTTTCTATTTCCACGTTGCCTCTTAATCATTTCCAAAGTTAATATTTATTTGATCAGTGAGGAGAAATATTGTACTCTTTCAGGGCTAGGAATCGGGAGGACTAACCAAGATATAATAGACTTGCAATTTAAATATTACACAAAAATATGTAAGCTCTTTGAGGCATTTTTGCTTTCTTTACCTTATTCCTCTCATTCCTTCTGTTTAAGAAAATTAAGACTTTTAAAAACCAGTAAGTGTATTCTTGGTGTTCAGTACTGTTTGAAACATTTTCTTTTTCCCAAGGCTTAATTTTTGTTGAAGTGCTATCCTTCAGCACCTGTTTACAATGAACATTTCTCCTGCGCTTCCAACATTTCTCTTAGGAGGCTAATAAATATTGTTGCTTTGAGCTCCTAACAGCTTGCTTATGTCTAAGCCTTGTGTCCCTTTTAACCAAGCG